GTGACTAAATATTCAGAAGTTGTTTGTCGCTCCTTCTTCCTAATCTGTCTTTGTCTGGAAGCTCATCTGAAACCTGTCCACCAGGGTGACCCTGCTGGTATTTAAAATACCAGTGGCATAGCTTTCAGAATCACAGCAACTCACAAGCCACCACAGTACGACAAACTGACAGACAAGTGGTGGTTGAGGTGGGTAGGAGAAATTATTTGATAGATTTTGATTCAATGAATATTTGCAAGTAAAAGTGCCAGGTGCTTAGCCAGTGGGTGAAAAGTGTTTCAGTCCTTTAATCTCATGTGTTGGGGGCCAACTTGAGTGAAGAAAGGAAATGTCAGATTTGCCTCTGCAAATATGTATCCTTGGTACTGTTGTTCACTTGCTTGGAGGGGTAGCTCAATTGATTGCTCAGGTAGACCAGTTAACATGAAGACAAGGGTTCAGATTCAAGAGATAAGATGTTCCGCTTCTGAAGTGCCATTGCTTCAAGTGAGGAGCCACCACATAGTAGCATGAGAGAGGTTGAGTCAGTCAACCTGAATGAGAGAGTTTCTTTTGAGATCACAGTGAACTCAAGGGCGTTCCTGTGTTTCTTCTTCTGTCATTTTACTCAGAGATTCTGTATGAAAAAGACAATATTCAAGGGAGGCAGAAATGGGGGTTTGTGGGGGGATAAAAGATAGCCCTGGGTATGGGAAGAGTGTATTTATTTTCTCTTGTTATTCTGCAAGCACCTGAGTGGAGATTGAGGAAATCAACCAGGAAGTAACTTGTTGGGGAGAGAACATGAGCTAGAAGATTGTACCATGTGATGTATGGAAAGTTTCAGGCTGTAGTAGGTTCTTCGCCTATGGTGGTTATTACCTTTCCAATCAATACAAGTGCTGTGTGTTCTTCTTTTCCACCTCTGTAAGAGTACAGTTCCACGGCCAGTTTTCATAACTGCTACAGACAGTCTCCTGGGAATGGCCTCATTCATGCATTCAGACCATACATACGAGGTGTCTTCTGCACCCCAGTCCTGGTGTGGCACAGTGGATTAATTTACTGGACTGCAAAGTTGGTATGAACCATATGGTCGGTAGTTCACACTTACCAGTTGCTTCTTGAAAACCCTGGGTTTCAGGGTTGCTATGGGTCAGAATTGACTTGACGGCACTTAACAACAACACACCAGGATCTGTGTTGGTACTAAGATACTGGGAACTTTTGCCAAGTGTTCCCCTTCTATGCTAGAGACAAAAAAGACAAAATGAAAAAGTAGGCTTTCTTTCATTAAATAATGAGCAACAATCCTTCCTTCTTTCCTTCCTTTTGTACTCCCTGTCTTTGTTCCTTCCTTTCTCCTTCAAAGATAGGTGCCAAAGATAGGTGCTGTAGAAATCCCCAGATCAGTTGCCCATTGAGTTTACTACTTGTACCTTGGAGTGTGCACACACTACCATTTGCTTTGTGAGACTCAGCCTCACATCAACACCAGGGACAGATGACATGCCCCTGACCCTCACCACTGCCCCACACCCCAGCCAGTCCCTGCCCCTTAGTACATTACTGCTTGCTGTTTTCCTCTTCCCTAAGGATAGCTTCTGTGTCTCTCACCTTCAGGTGACATTTTGCTGAATGTGAATGGCATTGAGCTAACAGAGGTCAGCCGGAGTGAAGCCGTTACATTATTGAAAAGCACATCTTCCTCGGTGGTGCTCAAAGTTCTAGAAGTCAAAGAACAGGATCTCCCGGAAGACTGCAATGACCCAGCAGCCCTGGACTCCAACCACAACATGACTCCAGCTGGCGACTGGTCCCCATCCTGGGTCATGTGGCTGGAATTGCCACGGTGAGTCCCAACATGACATCCTTGTGGCAGCATGGAAGGAAACAGTTACATTCCCTGGATCACTTTTATTCTGATTCAGGGCACTAGTATCTTAATGAGACCCAGGCATGGTTGTGGGATTATTTGAAATAATTCTGTCTTCCCTTTTATAACGGAAAATGCATGCTGAATCCTAGTGCAGGAACGAAAACCTAGATGTGGAAATACTGTTAAGCAGTCACGCTAAGAGAGTGCAGGTCTGCCATGGACAGTTGTATGGTTTGTTCATGCACCAAGAAACTCAACTAAGACGGAGAGAAATTCAGCCTGTGATCCATGGTATGGAGCAGAGCCATAGCTCCCAGAGGAAGGTCCCTCTATTCCACTTTGGCTAGGAGCAGCCCTGGCAGCCAGCATGCTTAAGTGCCTGCCGGTTAAAAGCGTTTCTCAGACTCTGTCTCCCCTAGTTCCTACTACTGAAAATTTCTTGTATCAAACTTCAGGAAGTGCCAGGGTTATAATTTTAGTAACATGTTACTAGAGTCAAACAGAGAAGAATTTCACTGTCTCATACAAACACTCCCAGGGAAAGAATCTGCCCTACTAAATCAATCTATGAATAAATTAAATATTGTAATAGTAGATTTATTTGGGCTTGCTCACTGTCATCAGAGCATAAACTATTAACCTTCTTATTCCAAATGTGTGTTTTAAATGGTAAATGTTAGAGTCATGGAAGATTGTTTGCTGGCATGGGTTATATGGATGGAAGCAGGGTATTTGGTTTTAATACTTTTGCTTTTGTTTCAGGGTGGAGATAGATGTCTTCCTGTCTAATTAATTTTTTTTAATTTTTAAAAATATATGCATATAAATATATAAATATATACATGCATGTATATGGTGGTGGTGGTGGTAGTGGTTATATGCCTTGGAGTCACTTCTGGCTCATAACAACCCCGTACAGTGTTTCTGAGGCTGCAAATCTTCATCGGAGCAGAAAGCCTCATCTTTCTCCCAAGGAACCGCTGGTAGTTTCAAACTGCTGACCCTGAGGTTAGCAGCCTGACTCATAACCACTACGCTACCAGAGCTCCTTTATATATATCTAGCTCCGCGGGAGAAAGATGAGGCTTTCTACTCCTGTAAAGATTTACACCCTCGGAAACCCTGTACAGGGTCGCCATGGGTCAGAACCGACTCGACGGCACTTAACAACAACAACAACAACATATCTATATCTATATCTATATCTATATCTATATCTATATCTATCTATCTATCTATCTATCTATCTATCTATCTATCTATGGTCTGAATGCCATCAAAATCCAAGCCCCTAGTTACTGTCACCACCACTCATCTGTCAGTTTGTCATACTGTGGTGGCTTGTGAGTTGCTGTGATTCTGGAAGCTATGCCACCGGTGTTTTAAAGACCAGCAGGGTCACCCGTGGTGGGTAGGTGTATGATAAGCTTCCAGACGAAGACAGACTAGGAAGAAGGAAAGATGAAATACTTCCAAATATTTAGTCACTGAAAACCTAATGAATAGCAGAGAAACACCATCAGATATAGTGCCGGGAAATGAGCCTTTCAGGTTGGAAGGCACTCCAAATGCGACTGGGGAAGAGCTGCCTCCTCAAAGTAGAGTTGATGATGCATATGGAGTAAGCCCTTGGGACCTTGATTTGATCAAATGAAGAGAAACTCAAAATGAAGAGAAACAGCTGTAAACATCCATTAGTAATTAGAACACAGAATGTAAGAAGTATGAATCTAGGAAAATTGAAAATTGTCAAAAATGAAATGGAATGCATAAACATCAATATCTTAGACATTACTGAGCTGAAATGGACTGGTATTGACCATTTTTAATCTGATGTCCACATGGTTTACTATGCTGGGAATGACAAATTGGAGAGGAATGGTGTTCCCCATTCATCATCAAAAAGAACATATCAAGATCTGTCATGAGTCCAGAAACAGAACCCTAGGATCATCAAGAGAGAAAAGCACAAGCAGAATGCAGGACCCTATCCAGAGAAGCACTGGTAACGTAGTGGTTACGAATCGGGCAGCTAACTTCAGGGCCAGCAGTTCGAAACTACCAGCTGTTCCGCGGGAGAAAGATGAGGCTTTCTGCTCCCATAAAGATTTACAGCCTCGGAAACCCTGTACAGGGTCACTGGGAGTCGGAAATGACTCCACGGCACATAACAACAACAACAACAACAACAACAATCCAGAGAAGCAGCAACATCAGAAATGGAGGCAGAAATGGGGACATGGAGAGAGGGAGCAGTTGAGGATTCTAGATTCATGGAAAGAGAGGGACCTAGCAGTCAGGAGGCAGACTTGCAGAATGTGTCCTCTGGTGGTTTAAATTATTATATATTCCTGAGTGTTATAAAAAAGCTAAGAACCAAAATATGACCTTGAATATATCCCACTTGAATTTAGAAATTATCTGAAGAACAGATTTGATACATTAAACATGAAAGACTGAAGACCAGAAAAGTTGTGGGATGACATCAAGAACATAATACATGAAGAAAGCAAAAAGTCATTGACAAGACAAGAAAGAAGGAAAAGGTTAAAATGGATGTCAGAAGAGACACTGAAACTTGCTTTCCTGAGTAAAGATGCTAAAGTAAATGGAAGAAATGATGAGTTACAAGAGCTGAACAGAAAATTTCAAAGATCAGCTCGAGAAGATAAAGCCAAATATTACGGCAAAATGTGCAAAGATCTGGAGTCAGAAAACCAAAAAGGAAGAACATGCTCAGCATTTTCCAAGCTGGGGCAACTGAAGAACACTTAATTGTGCTCATGAGAAACCTGGACCTGGACCAAGAAGCCGTTGTTCGAACAAAACATGGGAACACTGAATGTTTTAAAATTTAAAACAGTGTGAGACGAGGTTGTATTCTTTCACCATACTTGTTCAACCTGTCTGCTGAGCAAATAATCTAAGAAGCTGGGTTCTATGAAGAAAAATGTGGCGTCAGGATTGAAGGAAGACTCATTAACAACCTACGATATGCTGATGATACAACCTTGCTTGCTGAAAGTGAAGAGGACTTGAAACATTCACTGATGAAGATCAAAAAGCACAGCCTTCAGTATGGATTACATCTCAATGTTAAGAAAACAAAAATCCTCACTACTGGACCAATAAACAACATTCTTATCAATGGAGAAAAGATTGAAGTTGTCAAGGACTTCATTCTTCTTGTATCAACACTCATGGAAGCAGCAGTCAAGAGATCAAATGACATATTGCATTAAGCAAATCTGCTGCACAAGACCTTTTAAAACGTGTTGAAGAGCAAAGATGTCAGCTTGAGGACTAAGGTGTGCCTGACCGAAGCCCTGGTATCTTCGATCACCTCATATGCATGTGAAAGCTGAGCAGTGAATAAGGAAGACCATAGAAGAATTGATGCTTTTGAGTTGTGGTGTTGGAAAAGAATATTGTAAGTGCCATGGCCTGCCAAAAGAACCAATAGATCCGTTTTGGAAGAAGTGCAGCCAGAGTGCTCCTTGATGGCCAAACTTCGCCTCTCATACTTTGGACATATTGTCAGGAGGGACAATAAGGTAGAGATACCTTATGATCCAGCAATTCCTTTACTTGGTATTTATCCACAAGAAATATGAGTCATACCCTAGTATCCTAAGTGCCCATCAATGGAAGAATGAATAAACAAACTTCGGTGCATACACACAATGGAATATTATGCTACCCTGAAGAATACAAGGAAGCAGCAAGCCATCGCATAATATGGATGAACCTTGAGGACATTATGCTGAGTGAAATCAGTCAGTCACAAAAGGAGAAATATGGCATAGGACCATTATTGTAAAAGATTATGAAAAAGCACCCACACTAAAAGGGGGATTAAAAAAAATCTTTCTGGTATTCTCTGTTCAGCTAAGATCCATCTAACGTCAGCAGTGGTATCCCTCGTTCCACCTCCATGTCTTAATCCAGTTAGAACCTCTGGCTGTTCCCTATCAATGTACAGTTGCAGCCTTTTTAAAAATTATCTTGAGCAAAATTTTACTTGAACATTAATATTGTCCAATGATTTCTATACTTTGTTAGATCACCTTTCTTTGAAATGGGCACAAATGTGGACCTCTTCTAATCAGATGGCTGGGTAGCTATCTTCCAAATTTTTTGGCATCTGATGAGTGAATGCTTCCAGTGCCTCTTCAGTTTGTCGGAAGATTTCAATTTGTATTCCATCGATTCTTGGATTGTCATTCTTTGCCAATGCCTTCAGGGCACTTTGGACTTCTTCCTTTAGTACCATTGGCTCTTGATCAGGTACAGTGACTCTGCATATTACTTCTATCTTCTTTTGATGCTTTCTGCTTCATTTAATATTTTGCCCAAAGAATGCTTTCAATACTGCAATTTGAGGCTTGAATTTTTCAAATGTTGAGCGTGTTCTTCCCTTTTGGTTTTCTAACTCTATAATTTTGCACATTTTATTACAATATTTGGCTTTCTCTTTTCGAGCTGCCCTTTGAAATTTTCTATTCAGTTCTTTTACCTCCTAATTTCTTCCATTTGCTTTACCATCTCTATACTGGAGAGCAAATTTCATTGTCTCTTCTGACATCCATTTTGTTTTTTTCTATCTACTTGTCTTCTCAATGACCTTTAGCCTTGCTTTTGTATGATGTTCTTGTCATCCCACAACTCTTTTGGTTTTCAGTCATTCATGTCTGGTGCATGAAATCTGTTGTTGAGATGATCTCTAAATTCAGGTGGGATATGTTCAAGGTCATATTTTGGTTCTCGTGGACTTGTTTTCATTTTCTCCAGCTTAGCCTGAACTAAGGTACACCTGACCCAAGCCATGGTATTTTCAATAACCTCATATGCATGAGAAAACTGGACAGTGAATAAGGAAGACCGTAGAAGAATTGATGCCTTTGAGTTATGGTGTTGGAGGAGAATATTGAAAGTGCCATGGGCTGCCAAAAGAACCAACAGATCTTTTCTGG